CCATGGAAGACGAAGACATCGCCGTTCACCGTGTCGTTCCAGCGCAAGTTGCTCCGGGTCGTCCCCCTCGAAGAAGTCGGCGCAGGGGGCCGAGTCGTGTCGTCGTCGCCGGCGCCGTTCCTCCTGGTGATGCTCCTTGCGTTGCCTCTTCCGATGGCCATGGCTATGTCGGGGTTGACGATGACGATGATGCCGCTGGTACTGGTTCTGCGAGGAGGAGGCCGTGGACGAGGAAGCGAGCCTCGGCCTGCGCGGGCTAGGAGGCGCGCTTCCAGGTCGCCCTCGAGCACTCGCCGAGGAGGAGGCCTTCATGGCCTCCACCTTGGTCTCGACGAGGGCGGTCAGGACGGCGTCGAGGCGGGCCTCGGCGCCGGCGTCCTCCGTCGAGACAGCCTTGTCGGCCACGTCGAAGCTCGACGGGGTGACCGTCATCGCCCCGGTCACGACGCCCTCGACGATGCGAGGGTCGTCATGCAGCGGGCGAGGTCGCCGGAGACGGAGGTCCGAGAAGGGACCTCTCCCCCGGGGGAGGTTCAAGTTTAGGGAGGTTCGTCCTCATCCGAGGCATCTTCGGGGTCCTGGGATCCCCGGACTTCGGGTGGAGCTGGACCCCCGGTTCCTTGATTCTTGCTGATGGTTCCTGGAGGGCAACGTCGTTCCTGTAAGGATCCCTTGAGTTTTGTTTTGGCTCCTTCGAGGTCTTGGGTCAGGGTCTACTCTTCTGCTCCTAGGTGCCCCTTCCTGGATACACGAAGCGTTGACCGGGAAAACCAGGGGAGGCTCCTGTAACGACCCCTTGAGTTTTGTTTTGGCTCCTTCGAGGTCTTGGATCAGGATCTACTCTTCTGCTTTGTTTTGGCTCCTTCGAGGTCTTGGGTCAGGATCTACTCTTCTGCTTCCAGGTACCCCTTCCTGGATACACGAAGCGTTGACCGGGAAAACCAGGGGAGGCTCCTGTAGCGATCCCTTGAGTTTTGTTTTGGCTCCTTCGAGGTCTTGGGTCAGGATCTACTCTTCTGCTTTGTTTTGGCTCCTTCGAGGTCTTGGGTCAGGATCTACTCTTCTGCTTCTAGGTGCCCCTTCCTGAAGACACGAAGCGTTAACCGGGAAAACCAGGGGAGGCTCCTGTAACGACCCCTTGAGTTTTGTTTTGGCTCCTTCGAGGTCTTGGATCAGGATCTACTCTTCTGCTCCTAGGTGCCCCTTCCTGGGTACACGAAGCGTTGACCGGGAAAACGAGGAAAGGCTCCTGTAGCGATCCCTTGAGTTTTGATTTGGCTCCTTCGAGGTCTTGGGTCAGGATCTACTCTTCTGCTCCTAGGTGCCCCTCCCTGAAGACACGAAGCGTTGACCGGGAAAACCAGGGAAGGCTCCTGTAACGATCCCTTGAATTTTGTTTTGGCTCCTTCGAGGTCTTTCTAGGTGCCCCTTGCTGTATACACGAAACGTTGACCGGGAAAACCAGGGGAGGCTCCTTTCAAATAGCAACCCTCGTCTTTGGTTCATCCCCGGGTCCGGCATCACGGAGCCGTCCAAGATACACCAGGAGCTCTAGGGCTTCTTCCGATCGACGCGACCTCGGGCCTTCTTCGAGGTACATCGCCCTGGAGTGCCTCCTTTGATTGATATCCTCCCGGACCAGGTTTAGCCGTCTCAGGGTCCTGGACGGAGGTCTGTCGCGACAGTCATCTCCCGCCGACGTCTCATCCTGAACAGTTTTACGGTCACGCCGTCACCGCATCGATCCGCCTTCCGATGGGGTCTTTACAGTATCGAAGAACGTTGTTCCCGGATGACGACTTGGAATTCCAGCCATTCGAGGTCGACGAAATTCTCGGCATGCGATTTGTCCTCTCCGAGACCAGAAACTCGAATCTCGCGGTTAGGACGAGTTCACTGTCCCCTGGGGTGACACAGTTGGAAAACTCCCACACCAGGGTACGGGGTCTCGAAGAATCCTCATCCCCCGGTAAAACCCTAACTAAGCTAAGTACCCTCTTCCCTAACCTCCGTTCGAGCTCTCTGGTACATTTGAATACTTAATGGATTACATCCAGGTCGCGAGTCGTATCGCTAGAAGGGCGAGTTCACTCTCCTGTTTACCACCCTTTATGGTTAAGTTGCCATTAAATATTACTTAAGTCCACTTTCCAGATAATGGGAATATTAAATTCGGGTCCATTGCATCATGTACCGTTTTGTATGTAAATTTTATGTACGTTAGGACGAGCTCTTTTATGGTTAAGTTGCCATTCTTTATGGTTAAGTTGTCATCCTTTATGGTTAAGTTGCCATTAAATACTATTTAAGTCCACTTTCCAGACAATGGGAATATTAAATTCGAGTCCATTGCATCATGTACCGTTTTGTATGTAAATTTTATGTTAGGATGAGCTCCTTTATGGTTAAGTTGCCATTCTTTATGGTTAAGTTGCCATTAAATACCACTTAAGTCCATTTTCCCGACAATGCGAATATTAAATTCGAGTCCGTGGCATCATATACCGTTTTGTACGTAAATTTTATGTATGTTAGGACGAGCTCCTTTATGGTTAAGTTGCCATTCTTTATGGTTAAGTTGCCATCCTTTATGGTTAAATTGCCATTCTTTATGGTTAAGTTGCCATTAAATACCACTTAAGTCCATTTTCCCGACAATGCGAATATTAAAAACGAGTCCATTGCATCATGTACCGTTTTGTATGTAAATTTTATGTACGTTAGGACGAGCTCCTTTATGGTTAAGTTGCCATTCTTTATGGTTAAGTTGCCATCTTTTATGGTTAAGTCGCCATTAAATACCACTTAAGTCCATTTTCCCGACAATGCGAATATTAAATTCGAGTCCATTGCATCATATACCAATTTGCATGTAAATTTTATGTACGTTAGGGCGAGCTCCTTTATGGTTAAGTTGCCATTCTTTATGGTTAAGTCGCCATTAAATACCACTTAAGTCCACTTTCCCGACAACGCGAATATTAAATTCGAGCCCATTGCATCATGTACCGTTTTGCATATAAATTTTATGTACGTTAGGACGAGCTCACGGTGACCCCCCCTCTCGCTTCCACTTCCGGCGCCGGAACGAGACCGGCACCTCCCGAATCCGCGAAAACGCCCCCAGGTCCGCGCCACCGGGACGACGCGGTGACACTGGCCCTCGCGTGTCGCGCACGCGGAGACCCCTTCACCCTGCACGCGCAGGGTGCGCGGTGCCAGGGGCCGACACTGCCATGTATTGGGGTGTAACGCTTTATGCACTACCGCCATCTTCGGTTGGAGTAAACCTTCTTCGCGAACTAAAATATTTGGCGGGCTATTCAAATTCATTCATTAAGCGAAGGGATATTTTCGGGATTTAAAAAGTACTTGCAATGATCAAAACAGACGTTGCTTAAACTGACACACAAATGTAAGAAAACAGTGTATTAAGGTGATGTGAAAGTGGCATCGAAGAGGTTTTGTTTATAAAACTTTTCTCCCAACTCGATTTACCGAATAGTTTGAGACTTTACAACGCGAATAGGGAGACTATAAGGAAGGTCCTGAAACTCATGAAATTTCAATTCTTTTCTAATTTATTTATAGGTATTTTAAAAATAGTTTATAAAAAATGAAATTTCCCGAGTTTCAGGACCTACCTTAGGGTCTTCATATTCACGTATTAAAGTATGAAATGATTTGCGACAACCAGTTCGGAGAAAAGTTTTATGAACTATTGAGCTTTCGGATGCCACTTTCACATCCCCTTAAACATAAAAGAAGTAACAAAAGTGTCAGTAGCGCAACGCCTGTTTTAAATCACTGTAAGAACTGAAATAATTACATTAAACATTAGTTAAAAAGTGACATATACAAATTCTATACAAATTTAATTTTTGTTATGATTACTTTCATGGATTAAATGCGATATATAGATCGCATTTAATCCATTTAATTATTACGATTATTATAGTAAGAAACTACAAACTGTTCTTGATTTACACTTTTACTCACAAACTCACGTTCGCGATTTAATACCCGAGGTAATCGAAACTTGTAAAAAGATTACCACCAATCGAGGTTAGGTTCACTTTGGTTCACTTGTCCCGACTATTTTTACGCGCATCTACGCTGCGCCTCCTGGAGTCTCTTGCTATAGGTTAGAAAATTTTTTCTCTGTTCTTCTCTTTCTATTAGACTGAAAAGTCACGACACCAGCGCAGTCTTTGCTTGGAGTAGGTGAACTAACTTTAGCGTTACACCTCTCCCATAAGGTGAAGTGAAACATCCTTCAAATCAGTCGATTCGAATACAACACGTTTTTTTAAGGGTATTAGACCAAACTGTCCGAAACTTTGACACACATCACTCCTGATCATCTAAGAATTGTCCTGACACATTCAAAATTTGGATTTTTCATAAAAATTTTTTAACTCAGTCCAGGCCAGAAGCAAAATGGCGTCGAGCTCTCATATTTCGATCAGTATACAATTATAGAAGGCTCTGATATGAGAATCGAAAGGGTCAGGACAATTTTACGACAATTTAGAACACTCTGGTAATCGATAAACTCGCAATTGAACGGGATAAAGGCAAAAAAAGTGTTGTATACGCTTCTATGCTAAAACGATGGTAATACAAGGTCTCGGAATGAAAATTTAATTGACCTGGAAATCACAGATGGCGCAGGGGGTCCCTTTGCAGTCAATTAGGGCCCCAGAAAGCACGAATCCAGAGGATTTCTGGAGTTTTGCTTCGATTTCTTGATAATTATTGTACGAAAACGACAGGTGGAGTACGCCATTTGGTACAATACCCAATATAATTCGGCATAGCTGTCGATATAAAAACCAACGTCGGCAACGTAGGCATTTAGAAAAATCTTCTATATCGACGTTGATCAAGTTCCTCGACGTGTTTCACTTCACCTTAACATTTTTTCTCAGTGCTTCAAGAGCATCGCTGAAATATTCCCACGGGTTTCAAGCGAAATCGTTGGAAGAAGGATCTCTTACAATTTCGTCCAACTCCTCTTCTCTGGCCTTCCCCTCGGAAATGTCTACTGCACTCCCAGTGTCCACCTAAGGCGGGATATTAAATGGTTAAATCAATTTTATGAAATAAATACCTTGGTGGTATCTTTTCATATAATACAGAGCGACTTACTGTGTTCACCTTTAAAGCCCGGCGATAGACTAGATACTCGTGACGATGCTTTTCATGAAAAGACAAATTCCTAGGTTGTGGAAAAACCTCACTCGAAGAATCTCTCAATCCGATGAAGAGCCAAATCGTGAAGACGAATGGCATAGACATGGCCGGAAGTCCCACCTACATCAAGGAAATGGAACGAGTTAATTAAAATTTGATTGACCCCTTCCATAATCCCGTGGTCTAAATGAAATTGCCAAAAACGTGGCAACGCAAACCGCCTCGCGGTTTTTCCTCTATCCATTTTCTTGGAACGACAAACAATTAGATTACTCTCCTAGATTGTTCCCCGGTACAGGAATTCAATCGACTTTCCTCCACCCAAGCGGGAAAGCGTTAAGCAGCGTGCCTCAAACAGGTATAACTTCTCAGAACGGTGGTTAGCCAGTTACACGGTAATTACGCTTTATGCACGGTGGAAAAAAATATAAAAAAATAAAGTCCATTGTTGCGAGCGAGTTTGGGATTACCTTCCCGAGGACATGGATCATAATGTGCTCCAGGATGGTACTGAAGACGATGCCGATAACGGTCGCCATGGCGGTTTGTACCCTCAGGACGAAGAAGAAGCCTCCTAGTCCGGCCCCTGTGAGGAGGCCATTAAATCCTCGCACACCGGAATAAATGATTTCCCGAGGAACGCCAAGCCCCAGACCTGAGGAAAGTCGATCATGGATTAAGGTGAAATGAAACACGTCGAGGAACTTGGTCGACGTCGATAAAGATGATTTTTCTAAATGCCTACGTTGCCGACGTTGGTTTTTATATTGACAGCTGGGTCGAATTATATTGTGTATTGTACCAAATGGCATACTCCACCTGTCGTTTTCGTACAGTAATTATAAAGAAATCGAAGTAAAACTCAATAAATCCTCTGGATTCGTGCTTTCTGGGGCTCTAATTGACTGCGGAGGGACCCCCTGCGCCATCTGTGATTTGCAGGTCAATTAAATCTTCACTCCGAGACCTCGTATTCCCATCGTTTTGGCATAGAAGCGCATACAACACTTTTTTTGCCTTTATCCCGTTCAAATACGAGTTTATCGATTACCAGAGTGTTCTAAATTGTCGTAAAATTGTCCTGACCCTTTCGATTCTCATATTAGAGCCTTCAATAATTGTATATCGATCGAAATATGAGAGCTCGACGCCAATTTCCCTCGTTTCAAACTAGTGGATAAAGCGGACAAACTAGAACGTTCCATCGTCAATCCGTGTATCCCACGTTTCCTCCGAATGATGAAATCCCAGGTCGAATTACATCATACCTATAAGATTCGCTAGCAAAGCTCCAAGAAAGGCGAAGGCGCATCCCATTTTAAACAAGAAACTTCCCTCGTTCCAAACTAGTGGATAAATCGGACAAATTAGAACGTTCCATCGTCAATCCGTGTATCCCACGTTTCCTTGGAATGATGAAATCCCAGGTCGAATTACATCATACCTATAAGATTTGCAAGCAAAGCTCCAAGAAAGGCGAAGGCGCATCCCATTTTAAACAAGAAACTTCCCTCGTTCCAAACTAGTGGATAAATCGGACAAACTAGAACGTTCCATCGTCAATCCGTGTATCCCACGTTTCCTCGGAATGATGAAATCCCAGGTCGAATTACATCATACCTATAAGATTCGCAAGCAAAGCTCCAAGAAAGGCGAAGGCGCATCCCGTGGGTGAGAAAACCAAGATGGCGAGGTACACAACGGCCGCCGCAGGGACGCTATCGACTGCATAAAGCTGCGAAGAGGACGTGATGACGCCCCTGAAGACCTGAAACCCGAGAAATTCTCAATGTATAGGAATATCGACTCGGGGTCGAGAACTATGCAAAATGCATACTCACCATTCCCCAGTCGAGGGCGTCGCCGGTGCCGTTCGCCGCGTCCAGTGTGACGCCTCCTGTCGCGTTCTCCTGCAAGCGACAATCCTGCCGATGAGAATCCAAACACAATGGTCGACGACGACAATGCCAGTGTCGTCTTCATCTCGAGCACTCTGCGAGATATACGCGGCTCGCAAGTGCGACATCTCTACAGCGCCACCGGTCGTAGCCCGGAAGCCGCTTTTTTAAGGCGAAGTGAAACATCCTTCAAATCAGTCGATTCGAATACAACACTTTTTTTTAAGGGTATTAGACCAAACTGTCCGAAACTTTGACACATTCAAAATTTGGATTTTTGTAAAAAATTGTTTAACTCATGCGCCATCTGTGATTTCCAGGTCAATTAAATTTTCACTCCGAGACCTCGTATTCCCATCGTTTTGGTATACAAGCGCATACAACACTTTTTTTGCCTTTATCCCGTTCAAATGCGAGTTTATCGATTACCAGAGTGTTCTAAATCGTCGTAAAATTTTCCTGACCCTTTCCATTCTCATATCAGAGCCTTCGATAATTCTATACTGATCGAAATATCAGAGCTCGACGCCATTTTGGTTCTGTTCTGATCTGAGTTAAAAAATTAAAAAAAAAAAGTCCAAATTTCGAATGTGTCAGGACAATTCTTAGATGTGTCAAAGTTTCGGACAATTTGGTCTAATACCCTTAAAAAAAAGTGTTGTAATCGACTGCTTTGAAGGGGGTTTCACTTCACCTTAATTATACCAGGTACCTAGACGGGGACCACCGGCAAGTTTTTAACTAATCGGTTCTTTATACCAATTAGCTCCTTATTGGACCGATTGCGACTGCTCGACATGACCGAAACGATCGATGCTCGGTCCAGGGGGATAAAACGGTCGGATGTAGGTCAGGTTGGGATGCGGAAAAGCGGGAGGCTCTCGTGTTCTCGTCCCAGGAAATTCATTTACACGCTGCGACTAGACCCGGGAGGGTCTGCCAAAAAGAGAATGGAAAAAGGTTCGCAAATCCCTAGGTGATGTCGGTGAAAGGAAGTTCCTCATGGTAAGCCGTGAAGCCGTGAATGAAATGTCCGGGATACATCCTCTTCGAAACCGTCTCGGATCGCTCTTCAAGTCCTCGTTAGGTGTGAAAGAAAAATCGGCCACGTGTATTACTATCGTTGAACGTCGCCATTTTTCCTAGCGGGTACATAAAATCGGTTCAATGGAAGTATCTATAAATGTCGGACACTCCGCATACCTTGTCAAGCGAATAAGAAATTACGTGTAACGGTGTTAAGAAAAAGTAGGGATTTTTTTCAATGCGCGATAATCGCTCATTTACGAGCAGATAGAACGCTCACTGTAGCCGGTTATTATCCGCGACGCAATTACGGCTTGTATAATGAGGGAGGATCTATAACGTTTACGCAAACCAATCGCCATATATATTTTTACTTATTATATACGTTAATATATATTGATAGCGGAATTACAAATACATTTAAGGTGAAGTGAAACATCCTTCAAATCAGTCGATTCGAATACGACACTTTTTTTTTAATTATATTGGGTATTGTACTAAATGGCGTACACCATCTGTCGTTTTCGTACAATAATTATGAAGAAGTCGAACTAAAACTCTAGAAATCCTCTGGATTCATGCTTTCTGGGGCCCTAATTGACTGCAGAGGGACCCCCTGCGCCATCTGTGATTTCCAGGTCAATTAAATTTTCACTCCGAGACCTCGTATTCCCATCGTTTTAGCATAGAAGCGCATACAACACTTTTTTTGCCTTTATCCCGTTCAAATGCGAGTTTATCGATTACCAGAGTGTTCTAAATTGTCGTAAAATTGTCCTGACCCTTTCGATTCTCATATCAGAGCCTTCGATAATTGTATATTGATCGAAATATGAGAGCTCGACGCCATTTTGGTTCTGGTCTGGACTGAGTTAAAAAATTTTTTTGAAAAATCCAAATTTTGAATGTGTCAGGACAATTCTTAGATGATCAGGAGTGATGTGTCAAAGTTTCGGACAGTTTGGTCCAATACCCTTAAGAAAAAGTGTTGTATTCGAATCGACTGATTTGAAGGGGGTTTCACTTCACCTTAACGCCCTGTATAGCGTATTCGATAACTCGGCAATTAACGATTGTAATACAAAATAAAATAATACTCACTCGTGCCCAGTCATCAGTGGCAGGCGCAACACCCGATAAACCTTCACTTATCCTGAGAGTGAAGAGAAGCATGAGTTCCGTCAAATTAAAGGGCAACGTTAACGGAGGGATCCTGTCGTTTCCAATCGAACGGACCAAATAAACGCTGAAAAAAAGAGAGAGAGAAAAAAAACACAATTAACGCAAACACAAGTGCATCCTTAAGGTGAAGTGAAACACGTCGAGGAACTTGATCAACGTCGATAAAAAAGATCGTTCTAAATGCCTACGTTGCCGACGTTGGTTTTTATATTAACAGCTATATCGAATTATATAAGGTATTGTACTAAATGGCATACTCCAGTTGTTGTTTTCGTAGAATAATTATAAAGAAATCCAAGTAAATTTCCAGAAATCTCCTGGATTCGTGGTTTTTGATGCCCTAATTGATTGCAGAGGGACCCCCTGCGCCATCTGTGATTTCCAGGTCAATTAAATTTTCACTCCGAGACCTCGTATTACCATCGTTTTAGCAAAGAAGCGCATACAACACTTTTTTTGCCTTTATCCCGTTCAGATGCGAGTTTATCGATTACCGGAGTGTTCTAAATTGTCGTAAAATTGTCCTGACCCTTTCGATTCTCATATCAGAGCCTTTGATAATTGTATATTACATTTTTACAGAATAAAAGGAATGCTTTCCGAGTCACCTGAACAACGTGCAGGAAATCGTCAGCAAGAGACGTAGAATTTCAGATCCATCCGACACTTCCGGCATCACGGCGTACGTCACGGCTCCTATCAGCACCGGATTGAAGACCGTCAATCCATTTTGTATTTTGTCTGCAGACTCTCCAGACACCTAAAATTAAGAAAAATTCCTAAAGGAGGCGCTGAAAACGGTAGAAATATAATTTTGTAAAGGTCCCTCGGCAATGTAAAAAAATAAGTTTCCGCGATTTTCCGACATTGTGTCGAGGAAAATGTCTTAAAGTTTGATAACATGTAGCCATTTAAGGTGAAGCGAAATACCCTTCAAATCAGTCGATTCGAATACAACACTTTTTTTTAAGGGTATTAGACCAAACTGTCCGAAACTTTGACACGTCACTCCTGATCATCTAAGAATTGTCCTGACGCATTCAATATTTGGATTTTTCAAAAGAATTTTTTAACTCAGTCCAGGCCAGAACCAAAATGGCGTCGAGCTCTGATATTTCGATCAGTATACAATTATCGACGGCTCTGATATGAGAATCGAAAGGGTCAGGACAATTTTATGACCATTTAGAACACTTTGATAGTCGATAAACTCACATTTGAACGGGATAAAGGCAAAAAAAGTGTTGTATACGCTTCTATGCCAAAACGATGGTAATACGAGGTCTCAGAGTGAAAATTTAATTGACCTGGAAATCACAGATGGCGCAGGGGGTCCATCGATGTTTCACTTCACTTTAAGATCGATGAATGATGTTGAGCTCTCGTATTTCGATCGATATACAATTATTGAAGGCTCTGATATGAGAATCGAAAAGGTCAGGACAATTTTACGACAATTTAGAACACTCTCATAATCCATAAACTCGCATTTGAGCGGGATAAAGGCAAAAAAAGTGTTGTATGCGCTTCTATGCTAAAACGATGGGAATACGAGGTGTCGGAGTGAAAGTTTAATTGACTTGGAAATCACAGATGGCGCAGGGGGTCCCTCTGCAGTCAATTAGGGCCCCAGAAAGCACGAATCCAGAGGATTTCTAGAGTTTTACTTTGATTTCTTGATAATTATTGTACGAAAACGACAGGTGGAGTACGCCATTTGGTACAATACCCAATATAATTCGATACACCTGTCAATATAAAAACCAACGTCAGCAACGTAGGCATTTAGAAAAATCTTCTTTATTGACGTCGATCAAGTTCCTCGACGTGTTTCACTTCACCTTAAAAGGGTACAAATAAAAGATGTCTAGCAGATATGGGAATAAAACCGACCCTTTAAATAAAGGTTAGACAATTATGTATAAAATATAGGTAAAATTATACATTAAAAAGGACGATTATGTAGAAGAAAGAATCTTTTATAACCCAGAAATCAAACTCACTACGGAGAATACAAGCCCAAGGAGAGCAGTACCCAAGCTGGCGGAAAAAATTCCAGGGGAAGTCGCAGCCAACGCAGAGACGATCAAAAGTCCACTGATGGAATTGTTCGCAAAAGCGATCTGAAATAAAATTGAAGTGAATAGAAAAAAAATAATAAGTCTCAGAGAAACTTATAACTCACCTGGCCGTACCCCCTGAGAACCGCATCCAACACTTTTAAGGGGATCCAAGGGGGTCTACTCTTCGTGGCCAGATAATTTCTTAGAAGAGCGAAATCTCCTGTCCATGGGACCCATCGTTTCTGTAAAATCAGGGTTAAAATAAAACCAGATAAGTTGGATAAAAATGAGAAAAATAAGAGAAAAGTGAGAGACGTGCAACCTTCGGTAATAAAAAATCAGTCCTTACGCGATCGAACTTCATCGTCTCGGTATGATCCTTCTTCAAGATCGTCCATGCGAATGAGCAGCCTCTTTCTATTCTTGAAAGCCCCGTCGAGGATTTCCTCGCCGATCACCTGGGATTAAGTAACACATTAACCACCTTACGCGCACATTTATTACATAAATTAAATTGCGACAATAAATTCCCGACTTATGTATGAAAACTCGAGGCACGCTTCGAGGAAGAAAGAGGAGCACCACTAGCTTAGTAAAATGCAGTCATTATTGTTCCAACATGAGAATTGGTACGACTAAGCGAACGGAACATTCCCTGGGATTATTAGAGATCGAGTTATCAGGCAACGGTCTCTTAAGGTGAAGTGAAACACGTCGAGGAACTTGATCGACGTCGATAAAGAGATTTTTCTAAATGCCTACGTTGCCGACGTTGGTTTTTATATTGACAGCTATATCGAATTATATAAGGTATTGTACCAAATGGCGTACTCCACCTGTCGTTTTCGTACAATAATTATAAAGAAATCGAAGTAAAACTCCAGAAATCCTCTGGATTCGTGCTTTCTGGGGCCCTAATTGACTGCAGAGGGACCCCCTGCGCCATCTGTGATTTCCAGGTCAATTAAATTTTCACTCCGAGACCTCGTATTACCATCGTTTTAGCATAGAAACGCATACAACACTTTTTGTGCCTTTATCCCGTTCAAATGAGAGTTTATCGATTACCAGAGTGTTCTAAATTGTCGTAAAATTGTCCTGACCCTTTCGATTCTCATGTCGGAGCCTTCAATAATTGCATATCGATCGAAATATGAGAGCTCAACATCATTCATCGATCATAAGGAGAAGTGAAACATCGATGGACCCCCTGCGCCATCTGTGATTTCCAGGTCAATTAAATTTTCACTCCGAGACCTCGTATTACCATCGTTTTAGCATAGAAGCGCATACAACACTTTTTTTGCCTTTATCCCGTTCAAATGCGAGTTTATCGATTACCAGAGTGTTCTAAATTGTCGTAAAATTGTCCTGACCCTTTCGATTCTCATGTCGGAGCCTTCAATAATTGCATATCGATCGAAATATGAGAGCTCAACATCATTCATCGATTATAAGGAGAAGTGAAACATCGATGGACCCCCTGCGCCATCTGTGATTTTCAGGTCAATTAAATTTTCACTCCGAGACCTCGTATTACCATCGTTTTAGCATAGAAGCGCATACAACACTTTTTTTGCCCTTATCCCGTTCAAATGTGAGTTTATCGACTATCAAAGTGTTCTAAATGGTCATAAAATTGTTCTGACCCTTTCGATTCTCATATCAGGGCCTTCGATAATTGTATATTGATCGAAATATGAGAGCTCGACGCCATTTTGGTTCTGGTCTGGACCGAGTTAAAAAATGTGCTTGAAAAATCCAAATTTTCAATGTGTCAGGACAATTCTTAGATGTGTCAAAGTTTCGGACAGTTTGGTCTAACACCCTTAAAAAAAAGTGTTGTATTCGAATCGATTGATTTGAAGGGTGTTTCACTTCATCTTAACGTTCGTTTAAAAAGAAAGATGTACGCACTTGGTGCAAGGATGTGATTATCAGGCACTCGGAAGGCGATACACTGTGAAAGAGATTCGCAAGTCAGTGTCGAGTTATCTCGAGCATGTTTCAAACCGGTCGAATAACTAACACGTTTATTAGATTACGTCGTGGGGTAATTACCATACGTCTAATCAAACGAGACCACATGACCAGGGTCGGCTTTGAATCAACAGGAGCCCCAGGTTAAATCATCTCCAAGGACGCATTCTATGGTTTAGTAAAAGACAGGTTTAATTTGTAAATATGAACAGAATAAAATGTGCCTTTTAATATTAAAAGATAAATGATTAAGATAGTGTCTACGAGGGTTTGAAAACATTTTCATATATATCGAACATCGTCATTTATCCATAGACTTTAAACGATTAAAATATCTCTTAACGTCGAAAGAAAAATAATATACTGTTTATGCGTGACTGAAAATAGTTTCTAATTAAAATAAGTTGGTAAGTTCTGTAACTTTGCGACGCATAGGTACGTCGACAAGGCTCACATAAACACTCCTCATCATTCCGAACTGTCTCTGCATCCATAATAAAATTGCAAATAGCTCGGCAGAGATACGGATAGACTCGGATAATATTCCAAAAGTTACGACACAGATTCCAATAATAAATTAAGGAGCAAAGTAAGATCATTAGCAATTGAAATTGCGACGCCTACATTACCTATTATATTTTTCAATAATCGTAGTCACCGGAGCTCAATTATACCAAAGAACTATATTCTTTGATTATACTTGTCTATATCATCGAAAGACACTCCCAACGCGCCACGTTTAGGACTCGCTGTCTTTCGCAGGTTCATGGTACTACGTTACTCCTTTCTCCTTGAATTTAGAATGAAAAATATTAAATCAATTAAAAGAAGACTAGTATTACTGAAATAATATACAACATCCAATGGAAATATCGAGAAACATTCGTACAAAGAACTATATTCTTTGATTATACTTGTCCATATCATCGAATGACACTCCCAACGCGCCATGTTCAGGACTCGCTGTCTTTCGCAGGTTCATGGTACTACGTTACTCCTTTCTCCTTGAATTTAGAATGAAAAATATTAAATCAATTAAAAGAAGACTAGTATTACTAAAATAATATACAACATCCAATGGAAATATCAAGAAACATTCGTAAAATGCTAAGGCAACGATCACCTTTATTTCGAGGTAATCGGGACTCACTTGTGGCAGGCTTGAAATAACTTCCGACATTTCATTCCAACCTCATATCTTACTCGTACAACGTTGCGTTCATGGACAGCCATAATTAATAACGATCGCAGCTGAACCTATAAACGAAAATAAAGACGGTTGAAACAAATGAATTAACACGGGAAACGCTTGAGTACGCATTCAGTGATCATAACCAAAGAATACAGTGTCGTGTAACCTAACCTTCTTATAGCACTGCCTACTAATATAATTATATTAATTATATTAGCAGTCAGTGCTTACAGTATATGTACGTCGTGTATTATTTCAGCTCATTACCTGAAGGATTTTGCACCTTTTCGTTATATACACCGACAACTTCTATAGATGATATATTTGTAGAAAAACAGAATGTAATGTCTGAAAAAAACACACATGTTCATACTAACTTAATTATTTACTTATTATAAGTTTTTAGGTCTATATTAAGAAGATAGAATACATTAGATTAAGGTTAAGAATACATTTCGAAATAACGTACCGTTCTATAAGATTTTCTGCATTTCTGCACTCTCTACTACATCGTACTGAATACCGTTTACCTCATATATTTCACTGTAATAATTGATTTCATTTGCCATCCTTGCTTCTTTAATTTGAATCTACACGGTTGGAATTTGAATTTGAACTACGCAACACGTTGAGCGTAGGTAGCGTAGAAAATTTGTGATACATAAAATGGTGACTGATCAGTTAACATGTTCAGAAAACGTCCAATTCAGCAGATGAGATCTATCCGATCACTAAACAGTTGTCTCCTCTGAATGCACCCAATGAAAACGTACGTATGTATGTACATACCTGAACGGATAGGTTCGGTTCAGGTAGGGGGCGTTCGCGACCGGCGCGATGGATAGGGGACTGGATTCCGCGGCGAAACTTCCTTTACCGTTTATTTCTATGACCAGTAGTTTTGGAGATACAACGGAAATAAAATGCTGCGCTCTGATTGGTCGGTTCTTTAGAAGGGCGTAACTCGGAAACTACGCGGCGTAGAAGAAAACGGAAAAGGAAGTTTCGATTCCAAAGGACGTCCGCCGTCGATCCCCTTGGGTCCCAACCTCCGGTACCTGAACGGACAGGTTCGGTTCAGGTAGGGGGCGTTCGCGACAATGGATAGGGACTCGATTCCGCGGCGAAACTTCCTTTACCGTTTTTTTCTATGACCAGTAGTTTCGGAGATACAACGGAAATAAAATGCTGCGCTCTGATTGGTCGGTTCTTAAGAGGGGCGTAACTTGGAAACTACGCAGCGTAGGAGAAAACGGAAAAGTGTGACGTAGAATGAGGTATTTTGACGTCATGATTTTGATTTTTGATGTTATCGAAATTGTGTTATCAGGGTCCTACATTTTTTAAAGCCATTTAAGGAAGAGTGGACATGTTTGAGATGTAGACCGAGGTATTTAGGCGTGAGGATTTTGATTTTTTTGACGTCATCAAATTTGGGGAGGATTTTTGTCAACACTCGTCATCGGTGATTCCTGGTCAGGGGAACGACACATCAGGAGGGAAATGATAGGGAGAGGGATGGGGGGAGACATGCCGATAACTTATCAATTGTTTCGATGAACGATCGCTGATAGCCGAAGAGTTAGTACGTATAGAATTTAGGAGACGATGAAATATAAAATCGCGATGGAGAATCAGTCGTTTCCGAGATCTAGGGATGTGCTGGTCATCTTTCTGCGGCAATCTCACCAAATAGACTCTGGTGACATTCCCCCAAAAAAGTTCCCCAGGATCCGGGATTAATTTCCTGTCTTTGTTCCGGTGATTGTTAATGTTAAATCGAGTGACTTAAATCTGGATGACGTTTAAAACCTTAAACTATGAAGATTAATGAACTTCTTAGTACTTGTTTCATCTTTCTGCGGCAATTTCATCAAATGAAACTCTTGTGACATTTCCCCCAAAAAGTTCCCCAGGATCCGGGATTAATTTCCTGTCTTTGTTCCGGTGATTGTTAACGTTAAATCGAGTGACTTAAATCTGGATGACGTTTAAAACCTTAAACTATGAAGATTAATGAGCTTCTTAGAACTTGTTTCATCTTTCTGCGGCAATCTCATCAAATGAAACTCTGGTGACTTTCCCCCAAAAAAGTTCCCCAGGATCCGGGATTAATTTCCTGTCTTTGTTCCGGTGATTGTTAACGTTAAATCGAGTGATTTAAATCTGGATAACGTATAAAACATTAAACTATGAAGATTAATGAGCTTCTTAGTAGTTGTTTTAACTCTTTGCGTGGATTTTTCTGCAGAAAAATCTGTATCCTGGATAGTGATAACTGATAGAGAATTGTTAATTACATTTCCAAGAATAGTGTTGATGTTCTTCAGATCAAAATTGAAATCAACAGGTCTGAAAGCTTCTGATAGGATTTGGTAGATCAGAGATTAGGTTTTTTTTCATATCGCATACAAGTCATCGATTAACCCTTTGGACACGGAGCCATTCCGACATATGGGCGAAATTCCCCTGACCGTGCAGGCGATATTGGACCAAACGTCGGACGCCTTTAGGCGCTCTTAGTAGTCAAAGAGTTAAATAATATATTTCTTCGTTTAAATGCATTTCTATTTTCACAGTGTAGAGGAAAACCTTCGATAAATCTCGATTTCGAGGTGTTTCTTCTTTTTCATATCGCATACAAGTCATTGATTAACCCTTCGGACACGGAGCCATTTCGACATAAGGGCGAAATTCCTCTGATCGTGCAGGCGATATTGGACCAAACGTCGGGCGCCTTTAGGCGCTCTTAGTAGCCAAAAGCTTAAATAAAATATTTTTTTGGTTAAATACATTTTTATTTTCGCAGTGTAGAGGAAAACTACCGATAAATCTCGATTTGGAGGCGTTTCTTTTTTTTTCATATCGCATACAAATCATCGATTAAGCCTTTGAACACGGAGCCATTTCGACATACTGGCGAAATTCCCCTGACCGTGCAGGCAATTTTGGACCAAACGTCGGGCGCCTTTAGGCGCTCTTAGTAGCCAAAGGGTTAAATAATATATTTCTTCGTTTAAATGCATTTCTATCTTCACAGTGTAGAGGAAAACCTTCGATAAATCTCGATTTCGAGGTGTTTCTTCTTTTTCACATCGCATACAAGTCATCGATTAACCCTTTGGACACGGAGCCATTTCGACATAAGGGCGAAATTCCTCTGACCGTGCAGGCAATTTTGGACCAAACGTCGAGCGCCTTTAGACGCTCTTAGTAGCCAAAAGAGTTAATAAAGCCTTAAAGGTCTTTTCTTATCGAAGATGGGGTTAAAAAATGATATCCAAGGTTCCGTTTTCCTGGAGCTAGAGTGCAGTGCGTGACCATAAGAGACCATAAGTTTGTCGCATCCATGGGGAAGATTCGTGATAATTTTTTAGTGATTCTGTTTATCAATTCCGTGCTGATTTATCAAGTGAAGGTGGACTCGGCATGCCGAGAGGTCCAGTTGTCAAGAGACTGCGAATCTCTTTGCAGTGCAAATCGTGATGGGGTAGTCTCTTGCGAGCTCAGAGTTGCAGTTTTACTCCCAGCTGATCCGTCATATGACATCTCGCTGCCAAAAGTCTTGCCAGTACTTGGTAAGAGAATAAATCCCCAGTATTCGGAATATCTATTGTAAAGATAACGAAGAGCTGTCCCTAGTAGCAGAAAATATTTCTCCTATATTTTCTATATATTTAACGAATATCGTCCATTTTGTAAATATTTGCCAGACATTTGAAATATTTGCAAAACGTTTACTTTAGAATATTATCTCTATAATATTTATATAATATTACCTCCACGTGTTTTCATAATATTTTTCTACCAGATATACAAAACGTTTCNATATATTAAATAATAAAATACAAAGACTCACCAGAGTAGGAATTCCCGACGTGGTCCTTAAGGGCCTCCGGATAGTCCTTGTTGGTGGTCGCCTCGACATCAAATGTGCCGAAAGTGAAGTCTTGTCTCTTCTTGATGAACTCCACCATGGATTTCATCATCAGCTGACATGTATGCCTCCCTGCCAATTGTGTCTGTCCGTTGGTCGCGTACAGTAGGTGCACTTTTCGCCACTCGTTTCTGCAAAATAAAATTGCAATGGATTCTATTAAAAAATGGGATTAAGGTGATGTCAAAGTGGGGTCGAAGAGGTTTTGTTTATAAAACTTTTATCCGAACTCGATTTACCGAATAGTTTGAAACTTTACAACGTTACTAGGGAGACTATAAGGAAGGTCCTGAAACTCATGAAATTTCAATTCTTTTCAAATTTTTTTATGAATATTTTAAAAATAGTTTGCAAAAAATGAAATTTCCCGTGTTTTAGAACCTACCTTAGGGTCTCCATATTCACGTTTTAAAGTATGAAACGATTTGAGACACCCAGTTCAGAGGTAAGTTTCATAAACGCCCATAAATGCAACTTTTATACCACCTTAAGAATGATTATTTGGAAAAAATTTGAAATTTCATGGGTATCAAACCTTTTTTATGGGTTTCATAATCACGTCGTAAAGCTTCGAACGATTCGGTACACCCATTTCAGAAAAAGATTTCATAAACGTCCTTAAACGCAACTTTCATACCACCTTAAGAATAATTCCAATCACGCCGCGAAAGGAGAAATTTTGTAATCGGATTTTCATTTTTTTATCTCGTAATCGGTTGCGTTTAGGTCAGACTAACAATAAGGAAGATCGACGGAAGCAAGTCTAAAAATGGCATAGGCCACGCGTTATCGCTCCTGTTATCATTGACATGCGCGATAACAGGTGTTATTTCGATATCCCTGCATTTGTAGTGGTCGAGCGACAATGACTGATCGCAATTCGATTGACTTGCAGTTTGAAAATGTATTGACTAAATCGTGATCGTGATCTTCGATACGCGTGTTAAGGTTGTCTTTCAACCCTTTGAATCGGAGTCATTTCGACATATGGTCGAAATTCGTCTGACCGGGCAGGCGATATTGGACCAAAGGTCGGGCGCCTTTAGGCGCTCTTAGTAGCCAAAGAGTTAAATAATATATTTCTTCGGTTAAATGCATTTCTATTGTCACATTGTAGAGGAAAATCTCCGATAAATCTCTATTTCGAGGTGTTTCTTCTTTTTCAAATCGCATACAAGTCATCGATTAACCCTTTGAACACGGAGCCATTTCGACATATGGGCGAAATTCCTCTGACCGGGCAGGCGATATTGGACCAAACGTCAGACGCCTTTAGTCGTTCTTAGTAGCTAAAGGGTTAAGCAAACTCGGTAGAGTTTCGCGCCACATACACTCAACGACAAAACAATTTACCGTCTAAATTCCTTTTCTTTGCACCGAATCATTCCACTTATCAGAAGAAACATTGAAATAGAGAAATGATGACGTCCGTATTTAATTTACTATTTAAATTCAATTTTTTACGCCACATTTATATCAACTTTTAAGGCGATGTCAAAGTGGCGTCAAAGATCTCGTTTATGAAACTTTCCTCCGAACTTAATGAACCGAATCATTTCAAACTTTACAATATGAACACAGACGCTATAAGGAAAGTCCTGACACTCATAAAATTTCATTTTTTATAAACTATTTTTAAAACACCTATAAAGAAATTTGAAAAGAATTGAAATTTCATGAGTTTCAGGACCTTCCTTATAGTCTCCCTATTCACGTTGTAAAGTTTCAAACTATTCGGTTCATTCAGTTCGGAGGAAAATTTCATAAACGATTGACCCCCCAGATTCCACTTTCATGCCCCCTTAATGAAAATTAATTATGTAGAAAAATTACCCACCGATCCATGATGGATATGAAAAATTTGGCGATGTCTCGAAAGGCCAAAATCCCTGTCCTCGTTGTCATGAAATATTCGTCTTTGCATTCCTTTTTTCTCTCCGTGAAGTCGAATGTGAAACCGCCTGTAGTAATTAATGGAGCTCCCATGAACTTCACTGCTCTACCCACGACCGCTGAAAAAGGAATAACAAATTGTTAACTAATTCCATTATGTCATATTAAGGTGAAATGAAATGGTAATTCTATGTATATGAAACGTCAAATTGTTTATAAAGCGTAATTCTATGTATATGAAACGTCAAAATGTTTATAAAGCGTAATTATATGCATATGAAACGTCAAAATGTTATAAAGAGTCATTCTATGTATATGAAACGTCAAAATGTTTATGAAGGGTAATTCTATATATATGAAAAATCAAAATGTATATAAAATGGTAATTCTATATATATGAAACGTCAAAATGTTTATAAAGGGTAAATCTATGTGCATGAAACGTCAAAATATTTATAAATGCTTTCTCCAAACTTCGCGCACCTAATCATTGAAAGTTCATCTTAAAAATAATGTTGAAAAATGAAATGTCTGACACTCGTCGTGTGACCCCTTAACGATTATTAGTACGTTGTAATTTTATAGAAATATAAAATATAAAGAATATCTTACCGACACAGTAATCACAGGCAGGACCCAAGAAGAGATGAACGCAATTAGAGTAACTATCGATTGCGCCGATTTGAGCGTATGTCGCATCGCAATGGTCGTCTTGTGGCAAAAATGTTAATTTCAGCCAATGAGGAAGAAGACCGCGAGATCTGGTTTCATAAACTGCCAGATCTGTCAAGAGAAACATTTTAAATGATATTTTCTTTAATGGCCACTACGTTTTAGTATAAAGTACTCAGACAGCACAACAACGACTAAAAGACGTCTGAAAAGCATCTGAAAGAGGTCTAAAAGACGTGTAAAATGCGTCTGAAGGAGGTCTAGAAGACGTGTAAAAAGAGTCTGAAAGAGGTCTAGAAGACGTGTAAAAAGCGTCTGAAAGAGATCTAAAAAACGTGTAAAATGCGTCTGAAAGANAATGTGTTTCAACGTGTTGCAAACGCCCAAAAACTCGCTACAATGTGTTGCAAACGTAAAAAAATCGCGCTGCAATGTGATCCAATGTGCTGCAAACGTCCAACAACGCTCTGCAATGTGTTTCAACGTGTTGCAAACGTTCAAAAACGCGCTGCAATGTGACTCAATGTGCTGCAAACGTCAAACGACGCGCTGCAATGTGTTGCAGCGTAAATCAACGTGTTGCAACAATGTTGTTCACAGGTTCACGCATCCCTTTTCACTATTCCCCCCGTAGGTGCATCCGTCCGTGCAAGCCGCGGGCGCGGGATTCAAACTGAGAGGTGGGAAACTCGGGGTCCCAGTTTGCCCCCCCCCCCAGCGACAGGTGCCGCGCGCATGCGCGGCCTTTCCCCTGGACCCGCGACCAACCACCGGCGACCGTGTCTCGCGCGCGACTGCCGTCTACCCCACCACCCGCGCGGTCATTCACCGGCGAAGGTCCATTCATGAGTAAGACCTGCGCGTGTGGGCGACGCCGTACACACAGGTGCGCGCGCACCCCTTCACACCCAGTCAACCCCCGTGTTACATGGCCTTGGGGATGCGCTCTGGTATAATGTTATCTTCAGCGACTGAGATAACTGATTCATTTAATCGAAGAAATATACCGAGAGTTAAAAAATTATTATTTGACTTTGATAAATGGAAATTTATTGGATAGGACGTTTCTTTGGGGTTGTGAGGGTTATTAAGGTGGTATGAAAGTGTGATATATACGTAGTAAAGAGTCAAAATATTTATAAAAATTTATTTAACATCGAAAAAAAATATCTTTTTTCGATTCTTGTTCGAGATGGATGCAAATTTTTTATCGAAAAATGAAATTTCACGAGTGCAGGGTTTGGAGAAAAGTTTTATAAATATTTTGACTTTTTGTTATGGATCATATCACTATTTCATATCACTTTAACAGAGGCAGTTGCGTTAGAATTTTAATCTTTCATTTGAGTGATAAGAGATCGTTTTGGGTTCATTTAATAATTATTGAACTAACAAAATATTTCTTTAGTTCGATGACAGTTTTTTTCTCGGTGCAGTGTTATTATTTTAACGAAAGTTAATGTGATAAGAGATCGATTAATCGAAAGACAAATTGTGTCATTCATACTTTTATGTGTAAACAATTGAAAGATGGATAATGTACAAAAAATGTATCTGAAAAATGATATCACTAACTTTTGATTATGTCAATGTAGAAATAGCTGTTATTTAACGAAATTTAGAAACAATAACGCACTGGAATTACGAATTTAATAAACTAACAAAAGTAGATATTTATCAAGAATCCTGAACAGGTTTTTCGAGAATAAATTAAAGAAATTAAAAGACAAAGAGAAAAATTAAAGAAATTACAAGACAGAGATGAAGATTAAAGAAATTAAAAGACAAAGACGAAAATTAAAGAAATTACAAAACAGAGATGAAGATTAAAGAAATTAAAAAATAGAAATGAAGATTAAAGAAATTAAAAGGCAAAGATGAAGATTAAAGAAATTAAAAGACAAATTGTTGCGAATTTACACTTTCATGTGTAAACAATTGAAAAATTAATAATGTACAAGAAATGCATCTCAAAAATGATATCACTAACTATTGAATATGTCAATGTAAAAGTAGCCATTATTTATCGAAATTTAGTAACAATGTCTTGCACTGGAATTGCGAAATAAATAAACTAACAAAACTAGATATTTATCAAGAATCCTGAAAAGGTTTTCCGAGAATTCCGATAAACTTCCGAAATTCGTATCATTCATATCTCTGTCAATCGTTTCATTGATTAATCGAATTTCCAATCAGCGTCTCTTATCATTCAAGTTCAGCATGATAATAAATATTTTGGCAGTCGGTAAAGAAGACCTATGCTTTCGCTTCGGCTTTCGTTGAAAGGAAGCGACCCTTTTTACCATCTGTGATAAGAAAACTTCCGAGCTGGCCCATGATAATGCAGGGAATATCTTTACCCTCGCGTTATCAATAATTATTAATAAATAGCACTTAAATTATATGCTTGTCAGGAATACATGTCCTGATAAACAAATGCATGTCCTCAACAAATAAAAAAAAAAACAAGTGGAATGAACTTTCCAATAAACTCGTTAACCTAATCTCTCCTATTGTTAACATGTATCATATGACAACAGTTAAATTAGTTATACTGCTTATTTTATTTTTATTTTTTTTTATTTAAGGTCTATTTTACCAGCTTAACACAATAAATAATGAAATTAAAGTTCAGCCTCTAAAATCTGCGAATCTATAAATGATTGTATTAGAACAATTGTACGCGTGATATTATGAAAAACTATGGTAAGAAAAATTATATCTGCACATCTGGTTTGAAAACAATAAAAAGGAAATGTAAAAAGGGTACCTTGATATAAAGGTACGCACAGAGAGAAATTTTTATTCCAATATGTTCCGTAGAAAACAATAAAAAAAATGTAATAAAGGTACCTTGATATAAAGGTACGCACACAGAGAAATTTTTGTTCCGATATCGTCTGTTGGAAACAATTAAAGAAAAATGAAAAAGGTACCTTGATATAAAGGTACGCACACGAAGAAATTCTTGTTATATCTTTCGTTGAAAACAATTTGAAAAAAATGAAAAAAGGTACCTTGGTATAAAGGTACGCGCACAAAGAAATTTGTATTACAATATCTTCCGTTAAAAACAAGTAAAAAAAGAAAATGCAAAACTAGTACCTTGATATAAAGGTACGCACACAAAGAAATTTTTATTGAAATATCTTCCATGTAAAACAATTAAAAACAAAATGAAAAAGGTACCTTGATATAAAGGTACACGCACAAAAAAATGTTTGTTCCAATATCTTCTGTTGGAAGCAATTTAAAAAAAAAATGAAAAGAGGTACCTTGGTATAAAGGTACGCGCACAAAGAAATTTGTATTACAATATCTTCCGTTAAAAACAAGTAAAAAAAGAAAATGCAAAACTAGTACCTTGATATAAAGGTACGCGCACAAAGAATTTTTTCTTACAATATCTTCCGTTGTTATTCGCAACAAGGTCTTTCGATAATGGGGCTAGTAGCACGAAAGACGTATCAATATAACTTATCAAATCGGCTTATCAATTGATCGGTTGACGTAAAACACATTCCTTGCGGACCTTCCTCGAAATATATCCTTCTAATTGATTACGATTGAATTATCAATTCTACCGCGACTACGCATTTTGCAAAATTGCAAAAGTAACAATGCTCAAAATGCAAAGCTTTACAATCAATGCCCTTGAAAAGACGTTCATACTTAACGTGAAATAACATTTTACATAATTTAGGATGTACCAATTAAAGTGAAGTGAAACCCTTTCAAATCAGACTCATGAAATTTAATATTCGCGATATGAAAGCATTATTTACTTATTTCATTTGTTTCGTTTATTTCATTTATTTCATTTATTTCGTTTATTTCGTTTATTTCATTTGTTTCATTTGTTTCATTTGTTTCATTTGTTTCATTTGTTTCATTTGTTTCATTTGTTTCATATGTTTCATTTGTTTCATTTGTTTCATTTGTTTCATTTGTTTCATTTGTTTCATTTGTTTCATTTGTTTCATTTGTTTCATTTGTTTCGTTTGTTTCGTTTATTTC